AGTTTTGTTTTCTGAAATCTATACGAGCCTTTTTTGTGTGTGCGTGTATCTGTAGCATATTTTTTTGTGAATTTTGAAATTCTGACTTCAGATTCGGTTAGAGGATTACTAATAATGTATAGAAAAGTTGCATCAAAATTTTGATATCTCTTCGGGAACATAGACAAAATGGCGCACAAAATCAAATTTTTTTTTTAAAAAGTTTAGAATTGTATAGAGCATCCAAAATAAGATATAATAGATCAAAATTATTTTTTTCAAAAAAATTGCGGCAAAAGTATGATTCTAGCTACAAATATGTATATAATTTTTTATTATTTTAAAAATTTGATATATAATATACAAGTACATGTTTTAACAAGTTATTAACATAAAAACTATAATTATAATATAAAATAGTGCTAAAATAATTGTAATCAATCATTATTAAACATATTACTATAAAATTTATAATTTTTATATGTGTATTTGTATGTATGTGTGTGTCTGTTTGTATTTGTGTATGTATGTGTAGGTGTGTGTAGGTGTATATATATATATGTATATATGTGTGTGTGTATGTGTGTGTATATGTATATGTATGTGTGTGTATGTGTATGTGTATGTGTATGTGTATGTGTATGTGTATGTGTATGTATGTGTGTGTATGTGTGTGTATGTGTGTGTATATGTGTATATGTGTGTATATGTGTGTGTAGGTATGTATATATATTTGTTAGTGTGCTGCTACAGTATTGATAATCCAATCAATGTGTTTAGATATTCGTACAAATATATTGCCGGCGTCGGCAACTCTAGCCGGACAGCCAGTGGATATGTTTGCCGGCCAATACCTTATACCCAAACCTATTAATATTGCCCGTTGACTATCAAACTCATACTGAATCAATGGTCCACCCGAGTCACCCTAATTTTTATGAAAATATTTTATAATTCAAATTAAAGTATTTAAACTAATATAAAAATTACATTTTACACACAGACACAAACACCCACACTTAACTATAAATAATCACACATAACCACACATAACCACACATAACCACACATAACCACACATAACCACACATAACCACACATAACCACACATAACCACACATAACCACACATAACCACACATAACCACACATAACCACACATAACCACACATAACCACACATAACCACACATAACCACACATAACCACACATAACCACACATAACCACACATAACCACACATAACCACACATAACCACACATAACCACACATAACCACACATAACCACACATAACCACACATAACCACACATAACCACACATAACCACACATAACCACACATAACCACACATAACCACACATAACCACACATAACCACACATAACCACACATAACCACACATAACCACACATAACCACACATAACCACACATAACCACACATAACCACACATAACCACACATAACCACACATAACCACACATAACCACACATAACCACACATAACCACACATAACCACACATAACCACACATAACCACACATAACCACACATAACCACACATAACCACACATAACTACACATAACCACTCAAAACCACGCATAACTACACATAACTACACATAACTACACATAGCTACACATAACCACACATAACCACTCAAAACCACGCATAACCACACATAACCACACATAACCACACATAACCACACATAACCACACATAACCACACATAACTACACATAACCACACATAACCACACATAACCACTCAAAACCACGCATAACCACACATAACTACACATAACAACACATAACCACACATAACCACTCAAAACCACGCATAACCACACATAACTACACATAACCTCACATAACTACACATAACTACACATAACTACACATAACCACACATTATTAATATTATTTCTATTTGTATTTTATTATATACTAACCGGACAGATACCTAAGCCATCATTTATAAGATATCTATTGCTTCTAATAAAATAAGTCCAACGATCCAATGCTGTATTAGTCGGTTCATTCATACGCAGCCAACCCGTACGCAATGGACCCAAATTTGTGACATAATTTTCATCAATATTACCGAAACCGGCAAACAATGCCAACTCTTTATCGGTGTTAACAATGTCTCTGTCGGGCAAACAAATGGCATTAACTGTCGGATATCTTCCAACCGTTAACTCTGTTATTGTTGTTGTAGTCATCGATATATTTGACGACAGTTTCAATAATGCAATATCGTATGCCTGTTCTAAACCGGGTCTAGTATTCATGAATACCGTATAATTTGGATGAATTACATACATATCCACACCGTATACATGACTAGTATGTTGACTATAATCGCGAACTAGTCGTACACTAATTGTATTATCGATACTTTTTTTTTATATATAATTAATTAAAATAAATAAATAGTTTTTATAAATAATATAGATTATTGATTTCAAATGATTACTTATAAAATCATGTGTTTTATTTCCCATATGGAATTTAAAAAATAAATAAAAATATTTATACCGTTATAAACTCAAATTTTTTACCACCCCTGGTAAATTAAACGAGTAAATGTGATAAAGCAAAAATGGGGGGGGGGTACTAGGAAACTATAATGACATATAATTAACATAAATCTATTTAAAAAAAACGGTATATTTTTTATATTACCGATAATAATAATAATTATAATATAACAATAAATCGTTGGTAATTGATAGCATATTCATAATGGTTTCGGAACAATTAGAGACGTCCAATTTAAAGGGGGTGGGGGATATCATGAAAATATATTTTATAAAAACAGGAGTGGGGGCGAGAAATTATTATTAAAAGTAAAAAAAAATCAATATTTTTCTTATTGTGAGAAAACTAGCATTATTTCCCATGATTTTGACATTTCTATATGGGGAATGGAAAAGCACAATTTTACGGTAACTAAATTGTTAATAATATAATTTATTTAATAATTATTTTGTATAAATTTTTTTTTTATATTTACAATATACAATGCGCTGCTGTTGAAATCCAATTGTTATTTAGTATAACTCCTGTACACATTTTACTGTTTAAAAAATTAATTTATGAAATTATAAGATAATTTTTTTTAAGTATTTATTTTTAAAAAAAAAATATAGATTATATTTTACTTTATATTTTAAATAAATAATTAATTTAAATATAAATTTATGTATTTATGAAAATACTTGTCATATTTGAAACCCCAAAATGTTTTGTATATATCAATGAATGCAATCCAAGGCCACTCTCCCGGTTGAGCTAACCGTCCGTTTTGGACACTTGTGGTCACATTATTATTTGATGACCACTTGAAACAGTGGTTTACGCCGTTCATCAACAATGACTGCCGACTGATACCACAGTTGTTCTCAGTTACCGACGGGTAGTGTTTGATACTAATTGAATGCAAACCATTGGTTACAAACACAACAATAAAACCGATTAATATATAAAATTTCATAATTTCAAAAAAAAAACACTAATAATATTATTGTATTTATTTTGAAAACTATTTAATTTTAATTTGATCAAAAAAAAGTAAATGAAAAATTTTGAAAATTAATGCATAAAAAACATATTACTAATAAATTTATAATTTTTATATGTGTATTTGTATGTATGTGTGTGTCTGTTTGTATTTGTGTATGTATGTGTAGGTGTGTGTAGGTATATATATATATATGTATATATGTGTGTGTGTGTGTATGTGTGTGTATATGTATATGTATGTGTGTGTATGTGTATGTGTATGTGTATGTGTATGTGTATGTGTATGTGTATGTATGTGTGTGTATGTGTGTGTATGTGTGTGTATATGTGTATATGTGTGTATATGTGTGTGTAGGTATGTATATATATTTGTTAGTGTGCTGCTACAGTATTGATAATCCAATCAATGTGTTTAGATATTCGTACAAATATATTGCCGGCGTCGGCAACTCTAGCCGGACAGCCAGTGGATATGTTTGCCGGCCAATACCTTATACCCAAACCTATTAATATTGCCCGTTGACTATCAAACTCATACTGAATCAATGGTCCACCCGAGTCACCCTAATTTTTATGAAAATATTTTATAATTCAAATTAAAGTATTTAAACTAATATAAAAATTACATTTTACACACAGACACAAACACCCACACTTAACTATAAATAATCACACATAACCACACATAACCACACATAACCACACATAACCACACATAACCACACATAACCACACATAACCACACATAACCACACATAACCACACATAACCACACATAACCACGCATAACCACACATAACCACACATAACCACACATAACCACACATAACCACACATAACCACACATAACCACACATAACCACACATAACCACACATAACCACACATAACCACACATAACCACACATAACCACACATAACCACACATAACCACACATAACCACACATAACCACACATAACCACACATAACCACACATAACCACACATAACCACACATAACCACACATAACCACACATAACCACACATAACCACACATAACCACACTAACCACACATAACCACACATAACCACACATAACCACACATAACCACACATAACTACACATAACCACTCAAAACCACGCATAACTACACATAACTACACATAACTACACATAGCTACACATAACCACTCATAACCACTCAAAACCACGCATAACCACACATAACCACACATAACCACACATAACCACACATAACCACACATAACCACACATAACTACACATAACCACACATAACCACACATAACCACTCAAAACCACGCATAACCACACATAACTACACATAACAACACATAACCACACATAACCACTCAAAACCACGCATAACCACACATAACTACACATAACCTCACATAACTACACATAACTACACATAACTACACATAACCACACATTATTAATATTATTTCTATTTGTATTTTATTATATACTAACCGGACAGATACCTAAGCCATCATTTATAAGATATCTATTGCTTCTAATAAAATAAGTCCAACGATCCAATGCTGTATTAGTCGGTTCATTCATACGCAGCCAACCCGTACGCAATGGACCCAAATTTGTGACATAATTTTCATCAATATTACCGAAACCGGCAAACAATGCCAACTCTTTATCGGTGTTAACAATGTCTCTGTCGGGCAAACAAATGGCATTAACTGTCGGATATCTTCCAACCGTTAACTCTGTTATTGTTGTTGTAGTCATCGATATATTTGACGACAGTTTCAATAATGCAATATCGTATGCCTGTTCTAAACCGGGTCTAGTATTCATGAATACCGTATAATTTGGATGAATTACATACATATCCACACCGTATACATGACTAGTATGTTGACTATAATCGCGAACTACAGGTGAGGAGAATAAAGTTGAAAACGTTTTTGATGAACGATTTACAAAATATGGCAAATATTAGATATTATTTTTTTACTAAAAAATAATCTCCAAATATGTAAAATTGTTGTGATAAAAATTATTTTAATATCCGATTAAAAATTTGGCTACAATTTACTTTCAAAGTTGGAATACACTTTTAGTGATTTTTAAACAATAATAATTATTATTATTTAATAATAAAATATTTTAAAACAAAAAAAGTGATAAAAATCATAATTTCTAATATTAAATGTAAACATTAGTTGAAAAAATTGCATAAAAGTTCTAAAATTCCAAGTCCAGAGACAAATAAAATAAGTTAAATATACCTCAAATAAATGAATTTAAATTAATAATTGTTATATTAATAACTATAATTAAAAAATTAAAATTTAAAACAATTAATTAGTTCTAAAACTTCAAAATCCACAGCAAAATTTTATAAAAATTTCTTAAATTAATAAAGGAAAATCACATTAATATAAAAAATTATCAGCAATAAATAATTACATTATTTTACTCTAGTTAAAGTTCGGAAATAAATTATATTTTCCGCATTTTATATAGTCATGTCTAATGTATCAAAATTAAATTATAAAACAAAATTTTAATAAATATCTAAAAAACAAATATAGAAAATCTTGAAGATATACTCAATCTTATCATTGTTTAAGACTGTAAAGTTTTAGACAAAAATTTTCATCATTAATTTATAGTATTTAGTATTTTTTTTAAAGATATCTTTAAATTATTAATATTATTTTTATTTAAAGCATATTTAGTTATTTTTTCACTATTATTAAAGATATTAACTAAAATAATAACTTTAATGTCTATAGAAATTTTAAATGGTCAAAACGACTATTGCTTTTATTAAAAATTAATTTTATTTTTTAGCAAATGATGCCTCTAAGTTTTACTATGTTCCCAAAAAATAACAGTTTTTTAATATTTAAAATACTCTTTTAAACAAACAAAAATCACTAAAATAATTTTGGTTAAAAAAGCCTAAAGGTATATCTCAACTTTGAAAGTAAATTGTAGCCACATTTTTAATTAGATTTTAAAATATTTTATATGATAACAATTTTACATATTTGGAGATTATTTTTTAGTAAAAATCTATTATCCAATATTTGCCATAACTAGTAAATCGTTCATCAAAAACGTCTTCAACTTTATTCTCCTCACCTGTAGTCGTACACTAATTGTATTATCGATACTTTTTTTTTATATATAATTAATTAAAATAAATAAATATTTTTTATAAATAATATAGATTATTGATTTCAAATGATTACTTATAAAATCATGTGTTTTATTTCCCATATGGAATTTAAAAAATAAAATAAAAATATTTATACCGTTATAAACTCAAATTTTTTACCACCCCTGGTAAATTAAACGAGTAAATGTGATAAAGCAAAAATGGGGGGGGGGTACTAGGAAACTATAATGACATATAATTAACATAAATCTATTTAAAAAAAACGGTATATTTTTTATATTACCGATAATAATAATAATTATAATATAACAATAAATCGTTGGTAATTGATAGCATATTCATAATGGTTTCGGAACAATTAGAGACGTCCAATTTAAAGGGGTGAGGGATATCATGAAAATATATTTTATAAAAACAGGAGTGGGGGCGAGAAATTATTATTAAAAGTAAAAGAAAAATCAATATTTTTCTTATTGTGAGAAAACTAGCATTATTTCCCATGATTTTGACATTTCTATATGGGGAATGGAAAAACACAATTTTACGGTAACTAAATTGTTGATAATATAATTTATTTAATAATTATTTTGTATAAATTTTTTTTTTATATTTACAATATACAATGCGCTGCTGTTAAAATCCAATTGTTATTTAGTATAACTCCTGTACACATTTTACTGTTTAAAAAATTAATTTATGAAATTATAAGATAATTTTTTTTAAGTATTTATTTTTTTTTTAAAAATATAGATTATATTTTACTTTATATTTTAAATAAATAATTAATTTAAATATAAATTTATGTATTTATGAAAATACTTGTCATATTTGAAACCCCAAAATGTTTTGTATATATCAATGAATGCAATCCAAGGCCACTCTCCAGGTTGAGCTAACCGTCCGTTTTGGACACTTGTGGTCACATTATTATTTGATGACCACTTGAAACAGTGGTTTACGCCGTTCATCAACAATGACTGCCGACTGATACCGCAGTTGTCCTCAGTTACCGACGGGTAGTGTTTGATACTAATTGAATGCAAACCATTGGTTACAAACACAACAATAAAACCGATTAATATATAAGAATTCATAATTTCAACCAAAAAAAAAACCAAAAATAATTTTATTACATATATTTTGAAAACTATTTAATTTTAATTTAAACAAATAATAATAATATAAAATTATTGAAAATTAATACATAACACATAATTCTTTATATTAGTTAAAAATACGATATTATAATATAAAAAGTATTTTTATTTTTATTTTGTCTATACATTAATATAACATATTTAAATAAAATACTAAAATATAATATAATATGATATTTTCAATTAAATTTTTAAATGTTTTTTTTAAATAAATAATATGTAATATTAATCAATTAATTCAAATACTTTGTAAAAGCATTTTTTTTAATAGAAAACTAAAAATTTTATAAATTATATTAATAAATTATTATTAAGTAATTAAAAGATTAACAAATAATTAAATAAAGTAATATTTTGTTGTTGTTGTATTTAAATACTAGATTACATTATATTATATAAATATATAATTAAATACAAATAACTAATAGATTTTATTCAATAGTTTTTACACATACACATACACATACACATACACATACACATACACATACACATACACATACACATACACATACACATACACATACACATACACATACACATACACATACACATACACATACACATACACATACACATACACATACACATACACATACACATACACATACACATACACATACACATACACATACACATACACATACACATACACATACACATACACATACACATACACATACACATACACATACACATACACATACACATACACATACACATACACATACACATACACATACACATACACATACACATACACATACACATACACATACACATACACATACACATACACATACACATACACATACACATACACATACACATACACATACACATACACATACACATACACATACACATACACATACACATACACATACACATACACATACACATACACATACACATACACATACACATACACATACACATACACATACACATACACATACACATACACATACACATACACATACACATACACATACACATACACATACACATACACATACATGGACTTACCTTACAGACATCACTTCCATCATTTATAGGATATCTTTCGTTTCTAATTAAATAAGACCAGAGATCTGTTACGTTATTAGTCGGTTCATTCATACGTATCCAACCCGTACGCAATTGACCCATATTTAGGACATTAACGTCAATCCTACCGAAACCGGCAAACAATGCTAACTCTTTATCGGTGTTAACACTGTCTCTGTCGGGCAAACAAATTGGATTAACTGTCGGATATCTTCCAACCGTTGACTCTGTTGTTGTTGTAGTCATCGATATATTTGACGACAGTTTCAATAATGCAATATCGTATGCAAATTGTAAACCGGGTATTGTTTTCTGGAATACCGTATAATTTGGATGAATTACATACATATCCACACCGTATGAATGACTTTCGTGGTGTTGACTATAATCGTGAACTAATCGTACACTTATTGTATTATCGATTCTATCAATAATTAATAAAAATATAAAAATAATTTTTATATAATATATTTATATATATATAAGTATATAACTATTTGTTTTAATAATTAACAAACAAAAAAAAATATTTATATTTTAATTACAATATACAATGCGCTGATGTTATAATCCAATTGTTATTTAATATAATTCCTGTACACCATTTTCTGTTTATATTTGTGATGAATCACTAATTAATACCATTAATTAATAATTATTTATATTATAACTTATATTTATTCTATTTAATATTATATTCAATGTATTTGTATACAATCAATATTCAATGTAAAGGACTGACTCTCTATATAGCATTGCTATATAGTATTATATAGCAAAGCATTAGTCTTCCCGTTACCCATAGCAACTCATCCAGAGCATCACTTAGTAAATAGAAAACACTATTTATTCAACTATTGATTAACATTACCTCACTGGCTTAGTGGTTAGCGTTTCACATAGTGAAGCATAATACCCGAGTTCGCGTCTCCCTTGAGTTTAGAATTTTAAACTAATTTATTTAAAATAAATAAATTAGTAAATATGAAACAAATTATTATTTTTAGTCTTTTAAAATGTCCTCTTTAATACTTTTGAATCTTAGCTCAATAGCTCAACTAATTAAGAAGTTATTAATGTTTTCTTAACTTTTTGCTAAGTTTTAGTTTTACTTTTCTCTGATTGGTCTAAAGTTTATAGAGTAATAAATCACTTTCCAATTCACATACTATTACTTTCTGATTGGCTCATAACATAGAAAATAGGGGAAAAGTTAATTACCTTTCGAAAATTACCGTATAAAACAGTATATATTTTACTGACACTGCAATTGATTCCGACCCCCCTCTGAAGCAGCCCCTCAGAACAATTATACCCGAACACCTATCTAATTAGTGGACTCCGCCGCTTGTATATAAGTAGCATACCATCAGTGGTATCTTCAGATGAGTTCTGGACTTCAGTTAGGAATTAAGAACCTAATTAGGTAGTGAGTCTGCTACCGGCTGAAGTCACTCCACCCCTCTAGCTCCCCTATGGCTCAGTATGCCGATACAGTATGTAGTACTGCCCCTCACGAGTAACACATAGTAC